TTGCGGAGTGGGGCGGAGGGGGGGAAGGAGGGAGGAAGAACTTTTGACTTTTTTATTTGAATAAGAAAAAAAAAAAAGTTTTTTTGCAGCGAAATCACGCGCGTGCCATAGATTAGCTGTGGGCAGGGATAGGCTGCCCGGCCGCCGGCCGCCGGCCCCATTGGCTCCGGGGCCGGGGTATTGTTGCAGTGGGGCAGCTGCTGGGAGAGAATAGACAATAGAGCAGCTGTCTTGCACTGGCACCCTGCACACCAGCTGTCCACTCTTATCTGCACACACACTTTCGGGGGATATTAAGAGGTGGAGCTGTGTGCATAGAATTGGAAAAAAGGACTTCTGACCCTCACTGGGAAGGGAAGGGGGGTGAGGGGCTGTGGGGAAGGGAGCAATTGTGAGCCCTCTTTTGTCTGTGTGCAACTGTATTAAGAAGAATGCTCATCCCCGGTGATAAGTAAAGTGCCCAGTTACCGGGTGAGATCAATACTCCTGCAGACTCCAGAGATTAACTCAGCTGCGCTTAACTGCCCCGACCTAGTAAAAGGGGCTTGCTCCCCACTCGCAAGGTGCTCTCGGGATCGGACTTGTAAAAGGGAGGCGTTCGGCCCCAGTGCTGATGTCTCTGCCTGCTTGGTTTGTTTACAGCGATTTGTTTGCCTGGATGCGATGAGCAACACGGCTTTTGCGACAAACCTGGGGAATGCAAGTAAGTTTTCCACTCCCCTCCTGCTCCCCTCTTTGTCTTTAAAGTTGATGCTCTGGTGTTAAGTAAGCCATTGGTCATTTGAAGCATCGGTTTAAACGCCTTTCTTCATATTAGATGGTAATTTGGGAAATCCAGGTGATGCCAGATCAAAGTATTAATCTACAAGTCAAACATCAGTGCCATTGATATTAACCTAACGAGTTTACAGTGCTGTGTGTAAGGTTTAGCTGTTTCTTATCAGACTAAACAAATTAACTACCTGGAACCATGGCTCTGTCTAAGGAAGTGGAAGGAATAGCTGGGGCTGATGAAAGCTGATGCTACGGTTGGACTTGGTGACTTTCTCACATGAAGGACCACTGAGAGCTTTTAGGAAACTTGATCCCTGGCATCAGTGTGTTTGCAGAGTTTGTGCTAGGGTTTCCAACTGTGAGAAGTCTAAATCTGACGAGACTTTGTTGTTGGGTTTTTTTTTTTCAGATGCAGAGTGGGTTGGCAGGGGCGATATTGTGATGAGTGCATCCGATACCCAGGCTGCCTTCATGGTACCTGTCAGCAGCCGTGGCAGTGCAACTGCCAGGAAGGCTGGGGTGGCCTTTTCTGCAACCAGGGTAAGTTCTCAGTCCTTGCCTGAGCATCTGTTTTAAAACGCAGAAAGCAAGCGGCTATTTCCAGCTCACCCACCCTGTGCTAGCCTTGCAAAGTAGCAAGTATCTTGACTGCCCTCTTTTAAAAAAAAAAAAAAATCTTTTACAGACCTGAACTACTGCACCCACCACAAGCCCTGCAAGAATGGTGCCACATGCACCAACACTGGTCAGGGGAGCTACACTTGTTCTTGCCGACCTGGATACACAGGCTCCAACTGTGAGATTGAAATCAATGAATGTGATGCCAACCCTTGCAAGAATGGTGGAAGCTGCACTGTAAGTTTGAGTTGCTTGTGCCATCTGAAACCCCAAGGGAGGGGCTAATGTCAGTTTTACTGATTTTTCAAAATCCCTGTTTGGATTTCAAAGCAACTTCAGATAAATATTTTGACCATTTCTCATTTCTTCCCCCCAGGATCTCGAGAACAGCTATTCCTGTACCTGCCCCCCGGGCTTCTATGGTAAAAACTGTGAGCTGAGCGCAATGACTTGTGCTGACGGACCATGCTTCAATGGTGGGCGATGCACCGACAACCCCGATGGGGGATACAGCTGCCGCTGCCCATTGGGTTATTCTGGGTTCAACTGTGAAAAGAAAATCGATTACTGCAGTTCCAGCCCTTGTGCTAATGGTAAGGCCAAACATGCTACAGTGACCTTCTAAAAGGAGACCATCCAGTTACTTGGCTTCTGGTCCGGAGTTCATAACAAGGCCCACTGATCAATCATGGTCCATGCCATGTCAATAGTTGACTTGGTGGAGGAACTGTGCTTAGAAAGTAATGGTGTGGTTTGGGCCACTGCTGCAGATCGCATTTTCTCAAGGGGCGACTGTGGCCAGGTAACTTGGCCTGAAGCTTCATGCGTAAAAATATGGAGGATTATACTTGCACACATTTTGCAAAGACTCTTTGAGGTCTGTGGATGCAAAATGCCATACAAGTGCTAAATATTAATACTTGTAATCTGGTAACAGTAATCTTTCTGTTTTGATTAAACTAGTGAAGACTTTCTTTGCTGCAGTCCTCCTCATTCACTGCCACTCAAACTCTGTAACGTGAGATTGTGGTGTTAACCTGATCTGGACTAGCTTTGTTGTCCAAGCTGAGTGAAATGTTAAAAAGGGAATAGGACGGAGAATGAAATATAGATCTGATTAACAAATATTTTCCTTAAAAAACCCCCATACTTTTTATGGTGGACCAGGCTTGGCAAAGGTTGAGCTAACCTCTCAAAAAGCAAGCTTTTCTCAGCTGCCGGTTGTGACGGTTGCCCCGAGAGCAGCAGGTGGGAGGCTGTCAGGTCTGTCTGCCCACCACTCAGCACTCATCCCCCCTGATATCTTGCAGGAGCCCAGTGCGTCGATCTGGGGAACTCCTACATATGCCAGTGCCAGGCTGGCTTCACTGGGAGACACTGTGATGATAACGTGGACGACTGCGCCTCCTTTCCCTGCGTCAACGGAGGGACCTGCCAGGATGGCATCAATGACTATTCCTGCACCTGCCCCCCGGGATACAACGGGAAGAACTGCAGCACCCCGGTGAGCAGATGTGAACACAACCCCTGCCACAACGGGGCCACCTGCCATGAAAGAAACAACCGCTATGTCTGCGAGTGCGCCCGGGGGTACGGCGGGCTCAATTGCCAATTTTTGCTCCCCGAGCCGCCTCAGGGGCCGGTCATCGTTGACTTCACCGAGAAGTACACGGAAGGCCAGAACGCCCAGTTCCCCTGGATCGCCGTCTGCGCCGGGATTATTCTGGTCCTCATGCTGTTGCTGGGGTGCGCTGCTGTGGTCGTCTGCGTCAGGCTCAGAGTGCAGAAGAGGCACCACCAGCCTGATGCCTGCAGGAGTGAGACTGAGACCATGAACAACCTGGCGAACTGCCAGCGTGAGAAGGACATTTCCATAAGTGTCATTGGTGCCACTCAGATTAAAAACACGAATAAGAAAGTAGACTTTCACAGCGATAACTCCGATAAAAATGGCTACAAAGTCAGATACCCATCAGTGGATTACAATTTGGTGCATGAACTCAAGAACGAGGACTCTGTTAAAGAAGAGCACAACAAATGTGAAGCCAAGTGTGAAACGTATGATTCAGAGGCAGAGGAGAAAAGTGCAGTACAACTAAAGAGGTATCTCTCACATCTGAGCGCGGGGGGCAGCTTGACTCTGAAGGGGGTGTGTGTGTCTCATAGGTAGCGTTAAGCGACACCATCTGACCTGTGTTGTCTCTTTTTGTCTTCAATAGTGATACTTCTGAAAGAAAACGACCAGATTCAGTATATTCCACTTCAAAGGACACAAAGTACCAGTCGGTGTATGTCATATCAGAAGAGAAAGATGAGTGCATCATAGCAACTGAGGTTAGTGTACTGCCTGGCAGTTGCAACAGCAGAGAAAATTCTCGGTGCGCAACCCTCATCTAACACACGTCAGGGCAGCTAAACTCTTTTCCATGGTGCCACAGCGATTCGTACCTGACAAAATCCAGCCAGCTCGAGTTTGTCATGCTGTGGATGTTGTAAAGACAAGCTCAGTGACTTGCTGCTGGGGATGTTATGGGTACGACAACTTTTGCAGACAAGGGTACAATAACAGTGTGGTTGTGGTCTGCTGACCTACCCCTTAGTGTGCTTCAAGCAGAGTCCATTCTTGCCCAGCGTAAAGGCAGAGTCCCGACCCTCTGCAGCCTTACAGCCCTCTTCTTACTTTGCATTAACCTCTCCTGATCTTCTGCTTGTGTTTTCTCTCACCAGGTGTAAACTAGAGGCGATATGGCAAGGTGGTTGTTCAGAACAATTTCAGAGGAGACGTGCCCCGATGAATGCTGCTGAAAGAGGAATGGGAGATAGATTCCTTCACTGACTGCTGCTGAGAAACTAAATTCAGGCTTGAGCTGGTTCTCTACTGAAGTTAGCAAAGTGACTGCAAAATAAAGAAACAAGATGGACACCAGGCAAGGGTCTGTGTTCAAGGATTACTGTTGCACTGCCTTTTATGAATTTTATCATTGCACTATGGTCAGTTGCTTTTCTATATATATTTAAATGAATGGACTTAATTACTACATAAGAAGCATGCACTGCCTGAAGTGTATATTTTGGATTCTTATGAGCCAGTCTTTTCTTGAATTAGAGACACAAACACTGCCTTTATTGTCTTTTTTTGATACTAAAATGTGTTTTTACTAGGTGAGAAAAAGTGTGTTATTTTTTTGAATCTGTAAAAATATTTTCATGATAATTGTAAAGCTTGAGTATTTTGTGATGTTCATTTTTTTATAATTTAAATTTTTTGGTAAATATGTACAAAGGCACTTCGGGTCTATGTGACTATATTTTTTTGTATATAAATGTATTTATGGAATATTGTGCAAATGTTATTTGAGGTTTTTTTTACTGTTTTGTTAATGAAGAAATTCATTTTTAAAATATTTTTCCAAAATAAATATTATTAATGATAAACAGAGTGCTATGTTTATTCCATAACCGATGATGAACTGACTGAACCTTGCAACTGGGCATCTGACAGACTTCTGTGGTCTCATGGGTAGATGGGGTAAGACCGAGACCGACCACAAAGACTGGGAAACAACTTGTTCTGTAGTTCTCTTTCCCCTCCTAACCTTCTGAACTGTTGACCCCAAGGTTGTGCTTGTTCTTACCCCAAAGGCGAATGTCTGTCAAAACCTTGAGTAACGTTTGCTCAGTCATGTTGGGCTGTGTATATATAAACACATAGAGCACCACTTTCCGAAGAAAAGCAATGCGAGTGCATTCGTCGCAATCCAGATGTGGGGCTCCTCATGACTCAGCTCTTAATTTCTCGTAACCTCAAACACTTGCCTGGAGTCCAGGGGAGTTTGGGACACCCAGGGCATGCTGGTGAGGGCCCCCAGCTCAGGTCCTTGATGTGCACCCATGGATGTGAGCTCCCCCAGTCACACCTGCCGGGGGGTGGCAATTCCCTCTCCAGGAAAGGGTGACGCTGAATTGACTGGTGGCCACAACTCTCCGGGCTATGATACCTATCTGAAGTATTAGTTGCATCTTTGGTTTCCACTCTGCCCCTGGTGCCTGCTGCCTTCATATTGGGGCAGGGCGTGATCCCATCCCCTGGCTTGGCCCCAAACGCTCAGGCAATTTCCCCAATTTAGTTTGCCCTAACTAGCTCTACTTCAGGTTGTGCCGCGCGTTAATTAGCAGAGGCCCTTCAGAAACAGGCAAAGTGTTCTTCCACTTCAGGAAAAAAAGGAAATCTAGGAAATAATTTCCTTTTTGCTCCATTGAAGCTGCACCTGAATCATCATGGGCCACCTCTCGCAGCTTCGGGGAGCCGATGAAAATCCTCTGTTCCCATTCACTTCAGGGGAGGGGGATGCTATCCTAAACACAAAGAGTGGTATAGCAGATATAATCAAGCAATTATCGCAGCTGATTATCTATAACTGTAAAGTATATATGCGGTCCCCTTGTTTTAGTGTACATAAGTACATGAACCACTGGAACTGTACTTTGGTGTGAGGTCAATGGAAAACTCACACTGACTGCAGGGGCTTGTCCGTTTATAAGGTCTTCTCGCTAAGCCAAATCTTAGGCAAGATCTACTGACTCACTTCTCATGAAGTGACCCGACAGGGTCATCCTCTTCATTTATCCCAAAGTGTCTTTTTAGGGAAAGTTTTCATGAGGAGAGTGATGTGAGGTATTAAAAACCAGCCTGTCAGTGATGGTCTGAACAGCATTTTCAATCTGAGCAGTAACATATCAACCTGCCAATAACCAGTCAATGCATCATATGTTAAATGAGCCATGACAGTGTGTATGTCAGCAGGTGTTCAGAACAACATAATCTCACAGACTGGACAAACAAGTGAGTCTTGGTAGGTTTTATTACCATCTCTGTTGCTGATTTGCTCTTCAGCCTTGGGCAAATCACTTTATTTCTCTCTGTTTCCTCTTCTTCCCAAGCTTTTTGGAGCAGGCTTGTCTTTTATGATGTACTGCACTTCGCACAGTCAGTGCCATAGTCTCAGCTGGGCCCTCTTAATGCTGCTTCTGTAAAAATAGCAGTAACGAACGGAAGGTCATTGATGGCTGAGTGCCTCTATAATGGCAGGTCTTTAGTGCTACAGCAAGTACTACTTTGATATGGTGTCAGGTAAAGGTCTGGAAAAGCACATAGCTCCTTGCTCTTGTAAAGAGGCACAGCTTCAGCATCTACCTAACTTCGCTTAAAAATAAAACAGCTTTGGAAATCTTAGTTTGTCCAAGTGTGCTAATTACCAGAAGTGCTGAGCTTGGTGAGTGAAGGAAAACGTATTGTGGGCAAAGAGAAGGGCACGGTCTTGTCCTTCTGAAGCATCTTCTGAAATGATGGCTATACAGATGAGCCCAATGGCTTCTTCCGTTTCTGTCTTGAGCAGGGTTGGGGCTACTGCCACACGCAGGATTTATTTCTTGTACAGGATCACTGAGTCCCCCAAACCTGAGTGTGTGCGTATACAGGGGCTCTCAGTGACCAGAGCAGGCTGAGGCGTGCAGTGTGGAGCACTGGATCCATGCTCCTCACCTTTACTACCTGGGCCTTTCTGGGGAAAAAAATGGATGATCTGGGCAGGGGGTTGAAGTCGCGCGTGTGTTTGCTTGAGAGAGAGAGGGCGGCACATGCAGGTACCGAGGCGTGTGTGCAGGTGGTGCACACCGCGGGGAAGGGGCAGTGGAGCTGCCCGCCTGCCTTGGCCCTGCCAGGGCAGTGCTCGCCTGAGGACGGGAGCTCTGCTGCCAAAAAGCAGCAGGAACCTCCCAGTCAGCAGGGTCTCTGAAAGGCCTCCTCGTTCTAAAACGAGAGGAGAGCCTGTCTGGGGAGGCCGTTTAGCCAGGACAGCTGAGAATTCAGGGCCTGATCCAAAGCCCATTAAAATTAATGGAAGGGCTCCAATGAGCTGCAGGGACACATGGCACCGTGCCCCTCCTGACACAGCACATCTCCGGCTCTCCCCAGGGAAGCGGCATGTACTGATGCAGCGCGTGTCCCCGCGAGTGGGGGACATGAAAGCCCGTGGCCGGTCTAGCCAGGTCTGCCCCCTGGGCGGCTCGTCCCCCCGGTGCCAGCCTGTGCGCTGTGCCAGGACCTTGGGGGCCTGGGGTCCCTCCTCAGGGCATCGCTACGGCACTGTCCCTTCATGCCCCCACCTCAACCTGCAACATCTCCTCCCCTCCGCCCTGCAGTGGCCAGGGAGGGCTTGGCCTCGTTCGGTGCCAGGTCTCAACAGGGTGGCCGGAGAGGGCACCCCTCAGCCCACGCCTCTGCCTGCAAACCTGTGTCTCTGTGGCAAGCGGCATTTGCAGGGTTGGCATGGACAGGACATGTCAGGAACTTAGAGGCACTAGAACAGCAGGAGAGGTTAGCTGCAGGGAGGTATTAGCTGCCCTGTTTGTGGAAGCTTTCAAAACGTAGGAAGCTTTGGGTTCAGACAGCATGTCTTAGGTTTAATTGCAAGACATGGGTTTATAAATTGCTTTAAATTGATATTTGTGCTTACTTTGTACACAGTGCAGGAGGACAGCTTGGGTGTCAGGAAACTTGGGTACTATTCCTGGCTCCACCACAGACCTGATGTGTAACCTTGGGAGAGGAAGGATGGTCTTGTGGTCAAGGCGCTGCGGAGGGACTCAGAAGGGCCCCCTTCTATTTCCAGTGCTCCCTCCAGACTTCCTGTGCAACCTTGGACCTGTGTCACTTAATCTTTCCAGGACCTTAGGAAAATGGGGGCCTCCTGGTTGTGCTAAGAGGGAGAAGGTAATTTGTGCTTGCGAGAGGATACTGCGGTGGTAGGGAATGTTAAAATACCCTCCAAGGCAAGTAAGGCCATTTCCTATCTCTGCATGTCAGATTGCTCGTCTGCGAGGTGGCGAGCTATTTTTGCAAAGCTCTTTCAGATGCTTGCATGGAATAAAGACCCCTATCACAATTGAAACATCCATCATCTCAGAGAGGATACGCAAACCTTGCATTGGCAGCAAGGAGACAAACTGGCGGGGGGAGGGAGGCAGCTGCGGGGGTATAAGGGTGTGCACAGTGTGTGCGGGGGGGGGGGGGGGGGGGGGGGGCGTGATGCAGCTGTGTGCCCACAGCCCAGAAAGGATGCCACATGCGGCAGCGTTAATGTGGGGGGCCACAGTGCCATCGGCCTCCTCTCACAGACCAGCAACTGCAATCAAGGTCTGTAGCCGGCTCTCTGCTGTAGCGGGCTCTCTTCCAGCAAAACCATTTTGCAGGTAGAGATACAGATTAAACTCAGCTCGGGACTATGAGGGACAAGGAGGAAAGCTGCAGAAATGATACAGATGAGAATCCTCCACTGACAGACCCTGGGAAACCTCCCTATTGTAATGGCCTAACATCTGAAGTCATATATTTCAAAGAAAATGACCTGAGAACTACTTCTAGACCAAATACTAACCTGAGTAGCAACCTCTCATGATGCCTGACATCTACTTGTGTCAGATGAATGGGGACCCTCTCCGTTCCCTTCCCTCCTCCGGAGCCACTTTTTTCACCTGGCTGTTAAGACCTGGCTTTCTGCCTGCGTCTCTGCTACCTACTATGCAAGTCAGAGAAATCAAGAGCCTGGCTGGAAAACACCCAATGTGCACTACAAGGCAGGTTTTCAGATGAAACATGGGGCCTACTGTTGTGAAGACGTGACGGCTGATCCTGCTGCTCGCAGTGAGGCAGAGGCGGATGACAGACCCACTGCTGTGCAGGGGCTGCTGCCTGGTCAGCGGGGCAGGGATGCAGGGGAGATGGGGCTGGAGGTCACAGC